CTTCCACTTGTCCAACAAGTCCACTCCTGCCTGCTGTCTCTTCCACTAAGCTCTCTGCTAGACGTTCTTGAGTACAGGCAGGATAGCTCTTCAAGCACAGATGGGCTTGGATGAGACAGGCTCATCAGAGCAAACCATGATGCTCTTCTTGTTAAAGTGGGCTTGAGGTTTGGGGCAGAATGAGCACTTGTGGGGTACAGATGGATTACCTGGGCACTGAGGCAGTGAAGAGGGAATAGGTAGGTCCTGACATGCTACCTGTGAGTGAGTGTCTAGACCGATTGAAGCTAATGTCCATTTGGAGATGTAACAACAAAAGATTAAAAGTATTTATAAAACCAAAGAATTTGCTTTAGGAAGTTTAATTAATGGGAGATTTTCCAAGGTTTTTGAAATGTTACCATGTTTTAGAATAGTACATTTCATGTCCTAATGGAAGCTCTTCTGTTAGAGAAGTTTCAGATTTTTGGTTGTAAAAATAGTCATTTAATGATCTAACATCCAGTTCCTTCATTTTTTCTCATTAGCCATCCCTATTAGGACTCCTCCCTCATACTGTTCCCTATGCCTTGCACTCTGTCCCTGAGTCAGAGAGTTGGCTCTGGGGCAGCAGGAACCTCTTGTTTTAGGAGTTGGTGACCTTTAAGGACGTGGCTGTCTACTTCACCGGGACAGAATGGGCTGGTCTTTCTCCTGCACAGAAGGCCCTGTACAGAAGTGTTATGCTGGAGAATTATGGGAACTTGACATCCCTGGGTAAGGCTGCTTTCCTTCTGGGACTCAGATCTGTGCTTTCCTGTTTCCTTCCTTATTCTCTCCTAATAGGCTGGGTGTGCAGTGTGGAGAGGGAGAGAATGTCTCTGGTATCTTCCACTCTGTGGCTCCAGGGCTGAAACCAAATGACCCACTTCAAAGGTTACTGGGTAGGGAGAGATACTGAGTCAGTTTGGTAGCAATGTATGGAATTGTTGTCCCCTGGTAAGAGTACATCCCATCCTCCAAGGGGCTCTACACAGTAAGGAATACATAGTTCCATTGCCAGAGCTAAGTTCTTAACTTGTCTAGGGAAGGGTGTGACCCATTCCCTGTGTTTGCATATATCTTGTAGGATCTCACTAACTTACCTACTCTTAAGTAGGAAGGGATCACAGATGCTCGGTTTCTTGATCAAATCTTGGCTTTCCCCAATCCTGAACCTTCTTCTGTGGATCTTACTCTTATGGAGGCTCTTGGGGTTTTCCTTCTTTTGACACAGCAGACACACAACTGAAAGGTGCCATTTTCTCCCCATTTTCAGGATACCCAGTTCCCAAACCTGCCCTGATCTCACTTCTGGAGGGAGGGAATTTGCCTTGGGGCTTGGAGGCACAGGATAACCCATCTGCAGAGAGGACCAAAGACATCTGTAAAGGTAAGGAGGAAGGTTTAGAACTGGCAACTATGGAGCTTTATAGAGCAGTGTATTTTAAAATGAACCATACTGGGAAGGATTTAAATAAAATGGATGATTTCTCCTAGTAAGTAAAATATGAAACCTTTTCCATTAATTTTAACTCTTATCAAGATAACAAGTTCCCCTTAGTAAATTTCAAGCAATTTTTTAATCCATTACTCCTGAGTTTTGGCCTTTCCTGTCTCAGTGGTCCTCCTTTGGACAGGATGGATTTGTTCACAGGTGGTTTTCAGCACTTGCCACATGCCAAGCTTTGTTTAAGAGGCTCTGGAGGATACATGCTATGGAGACAGATGTAAAGAGCTTTTAAAAAAAGTGTGTTAAGTGCTATTCTTGGCATATAGGTAGTGGGCTATGGGAGCACAGCAGAAGGAGAAGTTGGAGAAATTCCCATTTAGGAGCTTAAGTAAGCTTCTTCAGTAGCAGGCTATATGTTCCAAATTTGACTTATGACAGTGGGTCCCATGTGAAAAAAAAGGTAGTCTCTGGCCTAAGAAAAGGAGTAGAGGATCCAGTAAATTGTTGGGAAGAATTTTGCAGTTTAATGTTCAGGGACAGTCACTTGGGGAGCATATTTTAAAATGGATATTTCTGGAGTACCTACAAGTATTTGTCTTTTCTAGTAAGCATTGGGGGAGCATGAAGCTTAGGACTGGAAGGCTAAATAAGACTTCCTAGAATCTGGGTCTGGCAGAGTCTACAGTATATCCTGACCCCCTTTACTCAGCCATTGGTGTAGATGAATGTAGTTGGTGTGACTTACCCACCCAGCCTTGTATGGAAAATCTAGAATGCAGAGTTTGTGGTGGACTTGAGGGCTCTATCCTAATGAACTTAGGGCATGGGAACCGGAAATGAAAGAGCAGGTAAAAGCAAACAAGGAGCAGGAGCAGTGACCCCTGCCACCGTGACATTGCCTCTAGTGACATAGGCCCATATTTGGTTGTATTTGTGAAATAATAACATAGTATGTGCTTTGGATGGGCCTGAAGGAAATTGAAGGTATAAAATCTTGTTAAAAACCCTTACTACATGTCAGGTGTTAACTTTTGAGTGAGTGAATTGGATAGGGGATAGTGGCAGTGCAAACAAGAAAGAGGAAAGAGCATGTGGAGCTAACATTGACCAGATCTTACCAAAACTTGGCCATCAAAGAGGAGAATTGAGTCAGGTAACACTGGGAAGTCATGACATAAAAGAAACTTTTTAAATTCATGTGAATTCAGATCTGAGCACAAGAGTGTGAGTTTCCTTTAGAATATGTATAATTGGATGGCCAGAGCAGGCCACAGAGAAGGCAGGTGTAGAGTCTGAGATAAATGTCAGGTCTATAGGAGTAGATGCAAGTGTACTCTACCAGAGTTTTAATTAAAATGACACCCAGAGAACAAAAAGAGCTGAATCTAAATATTAAGGGATATTTAATTTTATTGAGACAGGGAAGAGAAAGTAGAGGAGCGTCCCCAAGAGGGAACATGGACCTGAAGCCAAGGGTAGGAGTTTCAGGGTAGATACTTTGTAGAGAAAGAGTAAATGGTAGATGAGGAAATTGAGGCAGCACTTTATTTTTTATTTTTTTACTAACATATACTGTATTATTTGTTTCAGGGGTACAGGTCTGTGATTCATCAGTCTTACACAATTCACAGCGCTCACCATAGCACATACCCTCCCCAGTGTCCATCACTGAGCCACCCCATCCCTCCCACCCCCCGTCCACTCCAGCAACCCTCAGTTTGTTTCCTGAGATTATAGGCAGCACTTTAGATAAGTTTATTTTGGTAAGTTTAGAAATGAAATACAACCGTACCAACTCTTATTATGAGCTTCACCCTGTATACGCATTATGTACTTTGAGACTGGAGTTTCAAGAGACAAAATTTACCTTGGCATTGCAATGTATGTGAATTTTCTTCTAGGTTAGGCTAGTGTGTTTCATTTTAAAAAGTGTCTGATAGTTACATACTATGTCCATTTCACAACTAATGGGTAAGCAGTTTGAAAAACACTACTATAAGAAAAAGTTGGGGGGGGCGCCTGGGTGCCTCAGTTGGTTAAGCAGCTGCCTTTGGCTCAGGTCATGATCCCAGGGTCCTGGGATCGAGTCCCGCATCGGGCTCCCTGCTCAGCAGAAAGCCTGCTTCTCCCTCTCCCTCTGCCTGCCTCTCTGCCTACTTGTACTCTCTCTCTGTCAAATAAATAAATAAAATCTTTAAAAAAAAAAAAGAAAAGAAAAAGTTGGGGGGCGCCTGGGTGGCTCAGTCATTAAGCATCTGCCTTCAGCTCAGGTCATGGTCGCAGGGTCCTGGGATTGAGCCCCGCATCGGGCTCCCTGCTTGGCGGGAAGCCTGTTTCTCTCTCTACCACTCCCCCTGCTTGTGTTCTCTCTCTCTCAATGTCTCTCTGTCAAATAAATAAAATCTTTGAAAAAAAAAAAGAAAAAGAAAAAGTTGGATGTGAAGGGATGATGGTTAAGCCCAAGTGGATTTGAGGATCTGCAGAAGGAGGTTGGTGATGAAGAGGAGGGATGTTACAGCTGGTAGAGCAGTGTAGCAGGCGAAGGGAGGAGATGGCATCAGGGGTGATTGGGAAGTGTGAGACTTGAGAGGGCAGCAGATGGCTTGTAACGAGTGGGTGTAGAAATGGGAGGGAAAGACGTTGAGGGCACTGCATCTGGGCAGCTTTGTTCTTTCAGCAGGAAGGTGGGGGTAATGGCTAGAGACCTAGGAAGGTGGTAAAGGTCTTGGAAGCTTGGAAGCTTGGAAGAACTGCTGTGGGGATCCTGATCTAGATGATGGCAGATTATGGGGCAGCAGGAAAATAAGAGTATTTTGGTCATTGATTGCCCAGTCCTGGTTTTATAATTGAACACCCTGTTCACTTCAGTCTCCAATGTCTCCTCTCCCACTGCCTTTCTCCAAGGGCTCTTACTCGTTTAACTCGCACTTGAAGGATGAACTTGATTAGATGAGTCCCAGATACCTGAGATTAACATTAAAATTAGTCCAACATTTTATATAAAATAGATTGACTTTGGGACACCTGGGTGACTGAGTCACTTAAGTGTCTGCCTTCGGCTCAGGTCATGATCCCAGGGTCCTGGGACTGAGCCCTGCATTGGGCTACTTGCTCAGAAGGGAGCCTGCTTCTCCCTCTGCCTGCCGCTTCCCCTGCTTGTGCGCACTCTCTCTCTCTGACAAATAAATAAATAAAATCTTTTAAAAAAATAGATTGACTTTAACTGAGGTAAAATGGCGTCCAGTCTTGGAATACAAATGCCATTTTACAGGTGGCTGAAATGAGAACTACTCTGCAGTCTTTGTGTATATAGGTAAACTGTATTCTTCCCTTTCCAAATAAAGTCTCTGCGTGTTTGAGATTCAGACTTTTGTGAGAGTCTGATAACAAGACAGGAATTGCCAGCAACTTTAGGGAGTTCACTGTCCTCTGTGAACCTGCAGTTAACAGCCTTTGGGGGATGTCCTGTATTTAAGAACCTCTGAGTGTAATTTTCTTCTCTCTCTGTCTTGTCACAGCCTAGTGCCTTTAATGCTTAGTGTCTCCAGGCTTTTGGGCTATTTACAGGGTATGACTTTTTTATTTATTTTTGGGTATGAATTTTTTAAAAGAACCTTTTTCTTTCATCACATTTGTATTCTGACTCTGTTCTGTTGTACTTTCTGACTCTTGAGTCTTGCTAGCCCCAGTGTCACCACTTGCTCTTAGGGCCTGTGCCTTTGGTATTTTATAGTTCTATGAATATGATAAGGTCAAACGATACTAGAATGTACCAGAGAGAAGTTATTCAAAAAGTACGGAGTCTGGAAAAGCTTAGGAAGCAATCTGATCTGTGCTGTGTATACCAGTACCCTGTTTGTCCTTTACTGTTCTCTGTGTGATATTTGGCACTTTCATTTTAGTAGCCTGGTCTTGCTAGCAGTCCGATGTGGAGGTTGGAATAGTAATCTCTAAAGACCCTATAATTTTTGATGCTCTTTTGTTTCTAGTATAATCCTCAGGTGGCATTTGTTTTCTGTTTCATTAGATACTGAGACCAACGTTGGCAGTGAGTCCACATCAACACAGGGAATTTCTGAAGAAAGAGATGTGATATTGTCACATGGTTTGCAGAAGAGTGTTGTTCAGGGAGCCAACTTTCTAGAAACCTGTGAACTGGAAAAGCACCAGGAAATCCCCACAGTGAGAAATATTAAAGGAAAGAGTCCAAGAATCCACTGTACAAGAAAACCCTTCAGATGTGAGGAGTGTGGGAAATGCTTCAGTTATTTTTCTTACTATGTTAGACACCAGAGAATCCACACCGGGGAGAAACCCTTTGAGTGTAATGAGTGTGGAAAAGCCTTTAATGGCAATTCTTCATTAATTCGGCACCAGAGAATCCACACTGGAGAGAAGCCCTATCAATGTGAAGAGTGTGGGAGAGCCTTTAATGATAATGCAAATCTGATTAGGCATCAGAGAATCCACAGTGGGGACAGACCCTATCTCTGTGGAGAGTGTGGAAATAGTTTTACCAGTAGTTCCGAGTTTGTCATACATCAGAGAATCCACAATGGGGAGAAACCTTATGAGTGTAATGAGTGTGGAAAAGCTTTTGTTGGAAATTCACCACTACTTCGACATCAGAAAATCCACACTGGAGAGAAACCCTATGAATGTAAGGAGTGTGGCAAAAGCTTTGGAAGGACTTCTCATCTTAGCCAACATCAACGTATTCACACAGGGGAAAAGCCTTATTCTTGTAAGATATGCGGGCAGGCCTTCAATTTTCATACAAAACTAACTCGGCACCAGAGAGTCCACAGTGAGGAGAAACCCTTTGACTGTGTAGATTGTGGAAAAGCCTTTAGTGCTCAGGAACAATTAAAAAGGCATCTAAGGATCCATATTCAGGAGTCTTCCTGTTTATGTGATGCCTGTGGAAAAGTCTTCGCTAGCAAAAGAAATTTTCTTCAGCATCAAAGAAACCACACTGCAGAGAAACCCTATGAGTGTGTCGAGTATGAAAAAACCTTTAGGACTTCTTCCAGGCTAGGTCATCATGAGCATATCCACCCCGGAGAGAAACCTGTTGTCCTAGACATTTGTCATTTTGGCCTCCCAGAATTTTTCACCCCCTTTTACTGGTAATAGTACACTAAATTTCCCTTTGGATTTCATCTTCCACTCAGGAGCAGGATATGTGACACAGGCCTGGCTCAGCTGCACATTCCTTCCCCTAAACCATAGCTGTTGGTTCAGATGTCAGTAATTTACCCAGCATGGTCCAATTACAGTCCCAGGACTTGGCAAGAGTTAATAGGAAGAAATAACTCTTCTTTTCCCCCTTAGTCTTTTTTTTTTTTTTTAAGATTTTATTTTTATTTATTTGACAGAGAAAGACCCGGCAAGAGAGGGAACACAAGCAGGGGGAGTGGGAGAGGGAGAAGCAGGCCTCCCGCCGAGCAGGGAGCCCGATGCGGGGCTCGATCCCAGGACCCTGGGACCACGACCCGAGCCGAAGGCAGACGCTTAACGGCTGAGCCACCCAGGCACCCCTCCCCTTAGTCTTAAAGCTGAGAGGAACTCTTAAATTCTTGTGGAGGCTGAGAGAAAGCACAGCAAAAAAGAAATCAGAGTTGAAGAGCAATCACCCTCAAAGCTTCTGTTTGAACAACTACATTAAACCATATCTGAAGCCAGAAATACGGCTGGGTTTTTGAGTTCCAGTAAGTAGTATGTTTAGTTTTGTTTTTGTTTTGTTGTCTTTTCGTTCAAGCAAGTTTAGGGTAGGTTTTCTTTCCTTGCAAGAGAGCTTTATCACTCTAACAAAAATCTTCGGGGCTAACAAACCTGATGGAGAAATGTTTTTATGGGTATGATGTGTGGGAAAGTCTTTAGCTATAGTTCCAGCAGTTCCTGTGATTGTAACAAGAATGGAAAACCCATTGTAATGCAAGAGCCTGGGCTACATCAGGGTACCAGTATACAGAAGTTCTAGCTATTTAAGCTCTGTGATATGAGTTTCAGTGTTACTGCAAGACTGTGCCTGCATCAAGGAGTCCATTCTCAAGATAAGTCCTGTGAAACCAAAAGCTACCGCTCTTAAAGCTTTCATTTTGTTTACTCAATTTTTATTTGGAATGGATGCTGTTCTAGGGATTAAACTGGTAAATGCCGGGCTATTGTAGCGTTTACAGTATGCCACTTACCCGCGTGTCTAGAATAGCATGCCCACCTTGCCCTTTGAATTGGTCAGTGGGCCAAGGAAATGGTCTAGTTCTCTCATAAAGACGGAGTGCTGAGGTGTCTCAGTAGGAAGACAGAGCTGGCTCTTTAACTTAGGTGTGATGAATGTGGTCTGCACCCTCCTTTGTCACCTGTGCCCTTTTGCTGCCAACCATTGTGGCAGTCACCCTGCCACATTCCAGACTTTACCTACTCACTGAAGTCTGCCACCTGGTGGCTTCACCCCTCTTCCTTATTCGGCAGCAGTTGAACTGACCAATGAGTGATAGGCTGGGGGAATCACTTAACTTAAAAATTGAAGTATAATATACATACAGGAAAATGTACCACCTGAAATATTACCAAGATGGCCTTATCGTCACCAAGATCAGGAAAAAGTACATCCCAGTACCCTATGTCTCCTTGTGCCTGGTTCTAGTCATTACTTCTCTCTCACAGTAACCTCTTTACTGATTTCTACCATCACAAATGTTTACGTGAATGGAATCATCAATATAGATTCATTCTCATTGCCGCGTGGCGTTCTGTTACATGAATATACCACAATTATTGCCTGCTGTTGGTACACACGTGGGTTATTTTCAGGGGGATCATTTTTTTTCTTTTTAAGATTTTATTTATTTGACAGCACAAGCGGGGTGGGGGGCAGCAGGCAGAGGAAGAAGGGATCCTGATGGGCTCGATCCCAGCACCCTGGGATCATGACATGGGCTGAAGGCAGATGCTCAACCGAATGAGCCACCCAAGTGCCCCAGGGGGATCATTTTGAGGGCAGATCATCTAAAAGCACTCAAAACTGGTGAGAGTTACAGATTCCCTGACTTAGTTTCACATGTTGTCACGTTAGCCACAGATGCCCTTAATAAATAATGTCGCAGCAGTAATACACTTTTTTTTTTAAAGATTTTATTTATTTATTTGACAGAGACAGGGAGAGCAGGAACACAAGCAGGGGGAGTGGGAGAGGGAGAAGCAGGCCTCCCGCTGAGCGGGGAGCCCGATGTGGGACCCGATCCCAGGATCCTGGGATCATGACCTGAGCCGAAGGCAGACGCTTAACGACTGAGCCACCCAGGCGCCCAGTAATACACTTTTGACTCTCACCCTGTGTCAGGCACTTCCCTAATCAGTGTACACACTTAATTGTATGAAGTAGTTGCTGTAATTAGCTCCATGTTACAGTTGAGGCAAAGATTAATTAGGCCACCCAAGGACACAGAAGTAGCAGAGCCAGGGTTCAAACACAGGCAGCCTGGTTTTCAGAGCCCGCTGGTGTCCTGGCCATCTCAATATTGCCCTGTCAAGATCAGAGGTCAGTAACAGAAGAGGGGCTGTTGGAGGAGACTGATAAGCTCCATAGAGGTGGAGAATATCAGGAACAAGTCAGGATGAGGCTGTACCTGACTTCACAGGGAGGTAGGGAATAGGCAACAGTGAGGGAAAGCATAGATTGAGCTAAAACAGACATGTCTACTACAGACAGTATCTTAATATGGCATACCCAGGAGGCAGAGGACTGGGCTCTTAGGTCCCTTCACCCTCAGAAACACCATTTGAAAAATGGGTATTTTCTATTCTGTACCTGAACCAGAGAGCTGGCTCCTTTGAGGTGTTTCAGCTTTGAGATGTGATAGCCTGAGTGATGTTTAACTATTTTTTTTTTTTTGGTTTGTTTGTTTTTTTAAGAATTTATTTGACAGAGACATGGCGAGAGAGGGAACACAAGCAGGGGGAGTGGTAGGGGGAGAAGCAGGCTTCCCGCTGAGCAAGGAGTCCAATGCGGGGCTCCATCCCAGGACCCTGGGATCATGACCTGAGCTGAAGGCAGATGCTTAATGACAGCCACCCAGGCGTGCCCTAATCATCTTCATCTTTGTGGACTTAATATTGAGTAATTATCATCCATGGTCCCTGACCCCAGTGCCACTGTCAGGAACCCCCTCCAGCTGAGTAACCATCTTTGAATTAGTCGTGGTTAGTATATTAGTTTCCTGTGGTTCTATGACGAATTACCACACATTTAGGGGCATCAAACAAAAATTTATTCTCTCAGTTCTGGAGGCCAGAAGTCTGAAATCCATTATCTTGGGCTGAAATCCTGGTGTTGGGAGGGCTGCACTCCCTGGGGTGGCTCTAGGGTGGAATCTGTGCCTTTTCTCTTCCAGTGTTTGGTGACTGCCAGCATTCCTTAGCTTGTGGCCACATCACTCCTCAACCTCTCCTTTTGTCTTCACATCACCCCTTCTCTGTGTCTGATCTCCATTTGCTTCTCTCATAAGGAAACATGGCATTTAGGACTCACCCTGGTGATCCACATTACACCGGCAAAAATTACCATTTACAGCAACATTTACCGGGTTCCAGAAATCAGGACCTGGTATCTTTGGTTGGCTGTTACTCAGATGCACAAATAAGGTGGAAGAGGAAAGAAGTTAACATTAATTGAGCAATGTCTGAATCCCAGGCCATACTGTATGCACTTTAAGTGAAACAACATATAGTATTTACAACAACTATGTGCGCTTACTCCATTTTTCAGATGAATGAATGGAGTTTCAGAAAAATGAAGTGATTGCCCAGTGACTCATAACTAGTCAGTGAAGGAGCCAGGACTCCTCGGTATGATTCCTACTAGGTCACGCCGCCTCAAAAGCTGGCTGCTGAGTGTTTTGAACTTAGTGACCAGTGTTAAGTTAGTGCACTTGATAACACATAACGAACTTACCTGTTTGTTTCTTTTTCATTTCACGCCCGCCATCTATATTGCATTTTTGCATGACCCGAAGATACAAAGAACATTGGGGTGTTAGCAGCTTGCTGTTATCTAATGTGGTTTGTAATGTGGCCAAATGAGGTATTTCAAGGAAAACGACCTTCAAGAACCATAAGTACTTGGTTTGGCTGTTGCTGAAGTCCTGCTTTTTCATCATCATCATCAATGTGATCTCTTGTTTTCTAATTGGAATATTTAATCACTTGTATTTGATATGCTTATTAACATTAGGTTTAAGTCTATCACCTTGCTCTTTGTTTTCTGTTTATCCCATAGTTCTCCCCCCCCACCCCATTTCCTGCCCTTTTTTGGATCAAATTTTTGTGATTCCATTTTATCTCCTTTTCTGGCTATTATTCAGCTATAACAGTTTTTGTTTTAGGGTTTCTTTAGGATTTAGACTATATATCTTAAACTTAGCACACTCTACCTTTAAGTAATATTATACCACTTCATGTAAAGCATAAAAACCTTATAAAAATGTATTTCCATTTCTCCTCTCCTAACCTTTTAAGGCTGCTTGAAGTTGTCCCACAGCTCATGAATGATCTGTTCATTATTTAATTAGACTTTTAATCCTGAGATGATTGTAGATTAACATGCAGTTGTAAGAAATAATATAGAGAGTTTCCATGTATCCTTTACCCAGTTTTCTCCAAAGGTAACATCTTGCAAAACTAAAGTACAATACAACAATCAGGATACTAACATGGATATGGTCAACATACCGCACACTTCCATATTCACAGGGATCCCTCATTTTGCCCGTCTAGAGCCACAGACAACCCTCTCCTTCACTCCTGGAAGCCACTAACCTGTTCTCTATTTCCTTTTAAAGAATCATTTTAAGAAAGTTATGTAAATGGTACCAGACAGTATATAACATTTTGGGATTGGCCTTTTCACTCAGTGTAATTCTCTGGAGATTGAATGAGATTGTATCAATAATCTGTTCCTTTTGATTTCTGAATATATTCCATAGTATAGATAACCTGCAGTTGGTTTAACTATTCACCTATTGAAGGACATCTGAGTCATCATTTCTAGTTTTTGGCTGTTATGAATAGAGCTGCTATAGACATTTGTGTGCAAGTTTTTGTGTGAGAGTTTTCATTTGTCTGGAGTAAATGCCCAGAAGTGCTGGGTTGTATGATAATTGCATGTTTGGTTTCCTAAGAAACTGAGGAACTTTTCCAGTGTGACTGCACCATTTTATTTTACATTTCCACCAGTAACATCTGAGTGACCCAGTTGCTCTGCATCCTCGACAGCATTTGGTGTTGTCACTATTGCTTTGTTTCAGTCATTCTGGTAGATAT